ACGTACGTGTATTACGTTAAATGAAACTTTTATTAATTTATTAGATTGTCAAATCTCATGTTAGAAGGTTGGTTTTGGGATTGACATAATTTACACATGAAATCAGTTTCAGATTCACTCAAAGCTTTTCAAATGAAATCATTTGTGAAAATCCACCAAACTTGAATAACATAAGACTTTAGTTAATAATTGTAAGTATAAGAACCAATAACACTAGATTTTAAACTCTTTTAATGAAGATTTTGCAAATATAAGAACCAATAACACTAGATTTTAAACTCTTTTAATGAAGATTTTGCAAATATAAGAACCAATAACACTTGATTTGAGTAAAGTATTTAAAATCATTGATTAAATAACATTAGACTTGGGTTAGAGTTAGACTCTATTAAAATCCATTATCCAATAACACCCACTTAGTTTTTTCCATTGAGTACTGATATTGTTATATTTCTCCACTTTTGCAGCATCGATTTCTTCAAAGATGTTGTACAAGTTGTCCGTGTTCGACTTTTTGTATCGTCCACGCATTCTTTTATGTGTTATGGCCTTGTTGAGTTTTCTTCTGTTAACGAAGCAAACAAGGTAATAAAGACTAATTTATAGTGTTTATATATATGATGATGAATAATAATTGAAAAAAAAAAAACTACAGTCATTTGAAAAATACTGATTCAATCTTTTATACTCTTAGGCGCGGGACGAGAAGAATGGTGAATATTTCCTTGCTAAGCGGATTTATCTTGGTGTGCCTAAACTACATCCAAGCCCTCCACGCCCTAAGTAATTTGAGTACTTTCCATGTTTTGGAGATTTTGTTCCTCCAACTATTTTTGCTAGAGTTGTAGATTTGATGCCATTACACAAGCACTTACACTTTTTATTTTTGTTTATTATTTAGGTATTGCCTAGAGCACAAGGTTTGGTAAGTGTTTTATAACTATTTCTACCTCTCGAGTTTGTGTGAAGTTTTTGGTATACATGATGAAGAGATTTAATACATCTCAGCTACAAAGACTACCTTCGACGAGAGAGCCTTCCCATAGAAGCAGATGATGCAGTGACAAGACTTGATGAAATTCCCGATTTTGTTGAGGTATAATACGTCTTCTTACTATCTTCAAAATATGTCACGCCCACAAATGTTGCCACAAAGTCGAAAGATAGACTTATTTTCTTGTCAATGCAAATATTTAAGTCTTTTTTTCTTTCTTAGAGTCGTTCTAACGCACTTGGCTTTTCAACACAGGAAGTACTCTTTGTTGCCAATATCTCTCCCCAATCTAAAATATTACATATGTAAGTAGCACTTTATATTTCCACTTCCTTTGATCAGACCAAGTTTTCCATTACAGTACTGATATTATTATACCCTCCACTTTTACAGCAAAGATTTCTTCAAAGATGTTGGAGAAGTTGTTCGTGTTCGACTTATTGTAAACCACAAGGGTAAGCATGTGGGCTATGCCTTTGTTGACTTTGCTTCTGCTAGTGAAGCAAAGAAGGTGAGACTAGTTTTTTTTTGTAGTAATGATATGAAAAGTGTTTAAAGTGGTCATTTGAAAAGTATTTGAAAGTAAATTAGCTAATTGAATCTTTTGTACTGTAGGCGCTGGAAAAGAAGAATGGTGAATATTTGCACGATCATAAGATTATTCTTGAAGTGGCTAAGACAGCTCCAGACCCTCCACGACCCAAGTAACTTTTATTTTTTCTCCCCATGTTATGGAGATTCTGGTTGTGAGTTATTGCAAAAGACTAAACGCTATTATATTTTGGTAATTAGGTACAACCTTTTAGAGAAGCTTTGGTAAGGGTTAACAATTTCCATTTTGAGTTTTGTTATCAAGAGCACATTATATTGGGTGTAGTTTTTGGTATACATGGAGAGATCACTAACGTTTTTGATGTTTCAGTTACGAAGACTACCTTCTACGACAAAACCTTATGACAGAAGAAGATGGGGCAGCAGTGGAAGGACTCGATGAAACTGAGGTACATGTTCTTATAACCTTCAAAATATGTCAGGGATAGACATTTAATATCTTATCCTGAGAGTCATGCTAACATACTTGGATGTTGAATTCAGGCAGTTGCTTTAAGAAAAAGGACGCTCTTTGTTTCCCATTTCTCTCGCAAAGCTGAAATATCACATATGTAAGTGTAGCATCTTTGACATGTTTTCTTTCTTTCTAGGACAAACTTTTTCATGATTAATAATTTTTATCATATGTTTTTTACAGCATCAATTTCTTCAAAGATGTTGGACAAGTTGTTTCTCTTCGACTTATTGTAGACTATACGGGCAAGCATGTGGGCGATGGCTTTGTTGAGTTTGCTTCTGCTAGTGAAGCAGAGACGGTGAGACTAGTTATTGTAGTGATGAAGAGTTGTGTATCCTTATGATGAAAATGATACAAGTAGTTACGTTATTTTGAATGTAGGATTGCTGATTAAATCTTTTATATACTATAGGCACTGGAAAAGAAGAATGGTGAATATTTGCACGATCACAAGATTTTTCTTGACGTGGCTACAAAAGCCCCATACCCTCTACGACCCAAGTAAATTGATTTTCTGGTTGTAACTTATGCTAGAATTTTGATGCAAGAAGACTTACATGCATTATTATTTTTTGTTAATTGTAGGTATTGCATCGATCACAAGGTTTGGTAAGGGATTTTATAAAATAGTATTTTCATCTTGAGTTTGTTAGAAGAGCACATTGGGTGAAGTTGTTTGGTATCCATGGAGAAATTAATCACAAGGGTTTTTGATAATTCAAGGTATGAAGACTACCTTGGAAGAGCAGGCCTTCTGATAGAGGAAGATCATGAGGCAGTGGGAAGACTTGGTCATATTCTCGATTATATTGAGGTAAACACATGTTCTTATTATATCTTCAAAATATGTAGAGGCCACAGAAGAAATGCTTAGGAGTCTAATAACACCACTGTTGCCATATTTGTTATGCAATTTAAAATTCAGGAAGTTGCTGCAAGAAGAAGGACGGTCTTTATAGACAATATCTCTCGCAAAACTAGTTTTCGAAAGATGTAAGTCGTAGCACCTTTTTAATTTCCTCTTTCGTTACTGGAGCAAGTGTCTTCATGCATGTCTAGTATTATATCTTCCATTTTGTTACATGCAGCATCCGTTACTTCAGACATATTGGACGAGTTGTTCTTTTTAGACTTATTGTAGACCGCAGGGGTGAGAATATGGGTTGTGGCTTTGTTGAGTTTGCTTCTGCTATGGACGCAGAGAAGGTGAGAGTAGTTTGTTTATTACTAGTAATGATGAAAAGTATTTAAGCTAAGTAGTCATTTGAAGATATAAAAGTAGTATATGCTTTGCATATGATGAAAAATATACAAGAAGTTATTTGGAAGTAGGATTTGTTCTGATTAAATCTTTGGTATGTACTATAGGCGCTGGAAATAATACAAGATAAAGAGTATTATTTTGAGGTGGCTGAGATAACTGCATACCCTCTCCGACCCAAGTAAATATGGAGATTTTTTTTCCTAAGTTATTGATATATAGAGCTCTGATGTCATTACAGAATACTAACGCTGTTATATTTGTTTTGTTAATTAGGTACAATCTTGCAGAGAAGCTTTGGTAAGCGACTTCTTTTTTAACTATTTGCCTTTTAGGTTTTATTATCTAGAGCACATTGGGTGGCATTTTTGGTATACATGGAGAGTTGACAAGGGTTTTTATCATTCCAGGTGGAAGGTAGAAAGGCATTTGTTAATAGATGAAAGAAAAAAAAAAGAAGATAATGAAGAAGAAGAAGATGA